TGCTAAACGCATTGGATTTCAATCTGGGATTTTTGGTATAATGCTTTATGTACGTTTCTCCCTTATACAATATATCGAAATAATCATCATTTTTGGATCTACCCATTCTACCTTTTTTAGATGATAATAATGTTCCTTTTTTGACATCCGTGAATCTAACCTTAAATATTTTTATTTATAATCCTAAATTAATTTATGGTAATTGATACAGGAGAAGGAAAAAAAGTTTTTCTTGTTTTCTTTCTTTCATTTTTAAAAAAAATATTATGTATAACAGTATATTGTGATAGTATAATTTACTTTGGTTGCATATGAAATTGATATAAAATCATTTGATGTAACAAGCGAATACGCATAAATTGCACTTAGAAAACTTATTAGCATGCTCTTCGTTTTGTTTAATTTAGAGAAATGAATTTAATTAATAATTTTTATTTTAAATTTTAAAAAAAAACAGATTCTAAATTGATAAACTTAAAAGATTGAAATATTTTCTATCTATTAAATGTGGAGAATTTTATCTACCAGGCTGGTCCCGATTGAGATATTTCAAGACCTGCGCGCCATGCCGTTACCGCCAATCCTTTTTAATTTCATGCTGCGGCGTGGCGCATATTTTTAAATATTTTAAAATAGAACATAAAAACTCGTATAAAAATATTAAAGGCTATACACCTAGTGTTTTTATTTTACTTGGTCGTAAAATTTACGACCCAATTTGGTGCTCAGGCCTATGATCTCAAACCTGGAGCACAAACCCAGGGTCTAGGCCTTAGTTGTTTTTGTTGAAGGATAGTATAATAGCTATCAATCTAGGAGCTAATCAAAAGATCTATTCAGAGGACAAGCGTTCCATTTCGATGGGCTAATCTAGGTCTTGAGGGGTCAGGAATATTTTTGTCAACACAAAATAATATGAGTATTAAATATAAGTTGTTTTAATTATATCTTGACTATAAACCATAATTATTATTCTGTGCGGGTTAAGTCTTGAGGGTCAGGAATATTTTGGCAACGCACGGTATTGATATGGGCGTTAAAAGTTAATTTTATTATATTTAGATTGAAATCTTAATTATTATTTAAGTGGGCGGTTCTATGTCATGAAGGGTCAGGAATATTTTTTATAAACACAATATAATATCACAGGTAATAAATAAAAGATAATTGAAATATCTTTTCACTATAAAATTATTTCTTAAGTGGAAGAGTCTAGGAATATAAATTATGATATAAAAGTTAAATTTTTTCTCCCAAAATGTTCTATATATTGTTCTATTTCCTCCTCAGCCAATATAACTAAATTTGTTTTCCCTTTTTTGTTTACTCCATCTCGGCCCCTTCTTACTGTCTGAATATTTTATTTGAATAATGTAAACTGAGCTAGGCCCCGCTTGATCATATTTTACATGTTGTTTTTTTTTATAAGGTAAAAAAAAATCGTGTAATGAGATAATATATCATTTTTTCGTTTATTTATAATAAATTTAGATTTTAGACTTGAATAAAATAACTAAATAGAAGGATATATTATAAATATGTTCCAAACCGTAGAAACTATGCATCGACATCGGATGTATTATTTGGCGATAATGTTTAACAATATTAACTTTTACTTATAGATTTTGAACGTGAGAAAAAAAAATTTATTTTTAGTATATAATTAAACTAATGCTTAAGTTGAAATAATAATCTTGACCAATATTTAAGATTTTTTTCAAACTTTTTATTATATTTTAAAAAATATCAAATGATGGTTATTTTAATTTTTTTTAGAAGCGCCAAAAACTTTACAAAGCAAAAATGGTCTATAAAGTTACTAAATATTTATTTATCTGAATAATGTTATTTCAAATAGTTCAGATAAAAATTATTTACCAAAAGTAAAGACGCAGCAAAACGCAATGGCGTTTTCTGGGGTTAGATAGTAAAGCACTGCAAGCAACTCAGCTTCTGGTTAAAAAAATTTAATTGGGTCTAGCTAGGGCATTAAAATGCCAAAAAAAGGATTAAAATGAATTATGGATAGACGAGCGATTATTTCCAGCCACACGACTTTTTCAACGATTCGAAAAATCACTTTTTTTCTAAATAAAGGATAAATTAGAATTTTTAAGGGATTAGGACAAGGATAATTGGTATTAAATACTTAATACCAAAATTAAAATTCTTTTTGTCTTAATTTAAATATTTACGGACTCAGGGCTAAAAGGATGGTGCTAGTGCCTAAAAATCAATAGGTAGGACTGAGATAGATTTTTAAAATAAATTGAAATTGCCTCTACCTTGGGTAAAATAAACGTGTTTTTTTATTACCCCATTCACAGTTATGCGAATTTGCGGCTAAGTATACAAAAATGAATGTGATGTGATTCAATGTAAATTTATTCACCTGCTCTGCTGCCATATATGATCATTTTATTAACTCCACTAAACGAAAGAAAAAATGAATCTCATTTACTAATTTTAAGTTTAAAAATTACTGGTTCTCGGGCAACCTTTCTACAACTGTCCATCCCTCCCATCATAGAAAATCTCTTATATATTACAGGACTATCGCTTAATCTCCCCAAATGTGAGATTTGCTTTCTAAATCCTATTCATTCCTTTAGACCCACATCAACAGAGATGAGATGGCACATCTTGGATAACCGATAGAGGGTGAAAAAGGTCATTTTAAACAAATCTCATATCTAAAATCTTCTACGTTCTGAGATCCTCACCGATCTTCAAATGCACCGATTTGCTAGCTACCATGAAACCTATATTAAGGAGCTCCTTGAGAATATATTATACTCAATTCATACTGGCATCAGGCCACCCTCCCCAGCAAGTCTGGTGGTATTGGTATCCGATCCCCGATACAACTTTCCCTCTCAATCTTTATTTCATCTCGTCTGGCTGCTCACACTATTATCGATATTGGATCCACTCCTTTAGATCCTGACCTTTCTCAGGCCCTCACCTTTTGGGACAGCAATTGCTCATCCACCCTCTGCCGTTCTGACTTTAGCATTCAAAAGACTAGGATGCTCTTTTAATCGCCCGTTCCGTTGAATACCTATTTTTGAACATGCCCTTTGAGGACAATCTCAATAACATAGTAATATATGCAAACTCAGACTATGAATGGTTGGAAGCAATCCCCAGTTCCATCCTTGGCCTCCTCATGACTGGTGAACAGCTATGTATATCCATAGCCCTCCGCCTTAGCTGTAATGCTGTAGTTCTCTCCATTTGCATCGATTGTGACTAGCCCATTGAATCGAAAGCTTACCATCCCTTGCACTGTAAGTTCTCCCGTGGACGACAACCTCATCATAAATCTATCAACAACATTCTCCTAATTGCCCTTAAAAAAGTTAATATTCTACCCTCAACCCAGTGGGCCTCTCAAACGAAACACCATTCGCCTCAATGGTATACTCCTAATTCCCTGGACTAATGGTCTCCCTTTTACTTGAGAGTATACCTGTGTCGATTTTGCAGCAAAGTCCACCTCTCATTTTCTGTCATCGAAAAGGCAAAAATCCTTAAAAAATAAATACGTTGGCCTAACCAACTCTGTGTTCATACATCGTTACCAATACCCTAGGCATGTTTGGAAGTGACGCCCTAAATTTCATTAAAATCATAGGGAAAAAATGAGACAGATCTCAGGAGACCCCACTGAAGGATTTTATCTTCGTCAGTAGATTTCCCTTGAAAACTGCCGGTCCAGTTAAGCATTCAATCTTCTCGGGTCATATGTACCCTTTTTTTAAATATTTTTTCTTAGTTCTTTTTTATGTTTCTCTTCATAGATTATATACATATATTTTTTTTATATTTAATTTTTAATATATCCTTATTTGTTTTATAATATATATATTTTAGTGTATAATAAATGTTAATATTTTAATTTTGTAAAAAAGTTTTTAATATCAATAAATATTTATTATATAAAAAAATTAAATATATAAAATTATAGTTTCTTAATCAATACGAGATATTATTAGAGAACTCTTATTATATAAACTATGTAAATGAGAAAATTTAAAAAGAAAAAAAGGATTGAAGATGCTTTGTTTTTCCAGTTAATTAGTTGTTATATATATCAATATATGCAATGTAAACACTAACGCTAAAATATTCATGTTATAAAATCTTGCATCTGAAAAGTGTTGTTAAACACTACTAAAAAAGTAGCGCGCTATTTTTTCAAATTTAATAATTAGCATATTTAAAACATTTGCGAAACTTAAAAATTGCAATATTGTAAATGATTGCTTAAATATATTTAAGTACTATTTTCATATAAATTTAAATTATTGGATATTGGCTTGGGAAAATTAATCTATTAAGGCTTGGAAATTTTTTATATTAAATATGGGCTTGGACAAGGCATAAAAATATTTTCTACTGGGACCTGGACCGGACTTGATCAAAAAAATTTACATGAAGGTCTCTAATTTAGAGGCCTCAAAAAATTTCGAGTTTGATGATGTAAATAATTATAAACCATATTTAGATTTGTCCAGGGTGTAGATTTTTTTAAGAAAAGGTTTAAAAGTCAGATATTTTTTTTTAAAAAAAGATTGAATTATATATGGCCAAAGCTAAGACTTGGGGATTTATAAATATAATTTTGTCGTCTTATTTATGTGGTATTCTCACATTAAAGGGGAATACTTTCTTATTTTTTATTTAAATACTTGAAAAAGTATATTTAACATTTTACTATTAAAATTAAATTTACCATTAGAAAAGATAGGTCCCATTATAAAATATAAAATTGATTTTAATTGCACTACCCTTATACAAGTATATTTATAGATAATGCATAAAATATTTGATCTGATTTTGCAAATATTTTAACTCAGGCGCGCTTCTCATATGTTAAAAGGAATGAATTAAATATTTTAGAAGTAATAATCATGCGCTCTAAAGGAATTACACGAATTTATATTTTTGTTGCTAGATAAAAAAATTTTTTACACATTTTATTTATTTATAATCAGGTTTCAATAGGAACGCCAAGCCCAATCTCATCAAACAAGAAACATCTAGTTTGGAATTATATCTAAACATCTTATTCACATTGTACGAGGACGACTCTAAACAGAGTCAATGCCATTTTGTTAGAGATAAATTGATTATGTAAATAAAATGTTTTATCATTTTTTTCAAATAAATTTTTATTTTCTTCGTTATTTTTTAAAATTTAGTAGAATATTATATTTAAAAAAACATATTTGGTCCAGACTCCCTCGTCGTGAATTCATGATTATTAAGTTCTGATAAAATTAGCTCTCCTTTACTTTTTGTTAAAATTGAATCCCAATAATGCACAAATTAGATAAATCTTTTGTGCCTGCTTATTTTTAATAATTTATTTTTAAAAAACATATTTTTATAGACATTTGTTAGAAAGCTTTAAATATTATTTCGCGCTGGATAATAAATCACATAAAGAAGCTTGGAGTGGCGTTATCAAACTATTATTGACAAAACTGCTCATCATAAAAGATCCCAAGGTAATCAATTTTTAATTTTTAATATCCAAAAATGAGATATTTGAAATAAAAAAATTCTTATAATGGCCTATAAAAAAATTTTTTTAATGGGTTGTTCAATCTCGATTAAAAATTAAATTAAAACCCTATAATAATTAAGAGATGATATATTAATATGTATTTTTTAGAAATCTTCATATACCAAAGCATGGGTCCTAAGAATATAAACCCAGGCTGGGTCGAATTTTTTACAATACCAATTACACGTGCCACCTAAAGATCTATATCTATTTTGAGATCAAATTTTAAAAAACCCTAGCCTGGCGTAAAAATAAATATCATCAATTTTTTTTTAAAATAAATAATTGTTTTATATTACAGTTTCGATTAATCGTCATTCCAATCTACCCATATCTTTGTGAACTCCTAACCTTGGTTTTCGAAGCCGAAATAAGATCTTTGCTAAGGTCACTTTTCCTAAAAGTGGGGACCTGCTCAGCTTCCCTTTCGACTCCCAAAAATGTATCGAGCATTCAGATAGAAAATTTTTCCGTTACCCTAACCAATAATGACAATCCCAATCTTTTAGCAACCGGATTACAAATGCTTAATAACCATCAAACTCGACTTATTTGATATTCAATGTCATAGAATTTATATTATATATCACGAAAAATTAAAGAAAAAGATGACGGCACCTTAATATACATATCTAAGTGGTCAACACATCATGGCGCATATATACATGTATAAACTTACAATTTATATTAATAAGAATATAAAATTGACATCTAAAAATTCAGAGTGACCATATTACAAAATTTTGTTAAACTTATGATTTGGGCATCTATATTTTACCTATTTTTATTAAATAAAATTATTTATTATAATGAAATAAAATAAAATGCATATTATATATGTGTTAGATAATAATTTTTTTTATATAGATTATATTTTTGGTTATTATATTGCTTCATATGTTTATAATTAACTTACACCTTTTTGGAAAGTAGCAGTATCTTGACTCAGGAGATGTGGACAAAAGGGTATAAAATAATAAATATTGTTCAATGCAATTTTTTAATTATAAAACTGTTTTATTCACTGCTGAATATTAAGGATATTTTATGATTAAGTGAGAGGTCGAATTTTATTTAACGTTATTTGCTAAAATAATAAAAAATTTAATCAAAAAATCCTAAATATATGGTGTATTAATAACCCCTAAGTATTTACATTTTTAATTACATGTTATTTAATTATAATATAGAATGTGTTGGTATTAATGTTGGATTGTTGATTTTTTCAATAAAATATCAGATCAGTACATATTTTTTATAAAATCAAATCAATTTTTTTTCAAGTGTCAACCCATGATTGTTATATAAAAAATTATATCAATTTTAGGAATACTTCCTATATAGTTGAAATATTGCTTATTATATTTCAAATGTGATATCAGAAAGGTTTACATTTCATGAAAAAGATAAAGAAAAAAATAATAAACATTTTTATTCAATCCCCCCAGTTCAAGAAGAAGATATCAAAATAGAAGCTTCACTTATTAAACCATATATCAGATGTGATGACAAAATTAGCAAATTCAATATGCATCAAAAGAAAAATAAGTAGTAATATAGTGAAATCAAAATGCAATAGAAAGTGAAAATTATTCCTATTTCAATCAAGAGTTTGAAGCCAACATTCAGGTCTATTATTCAATCAATTATAATATGTGGGATAGGTTTGCAATGGGAGGTTTTTAAATCCCCTGCCCATAGATTTTAAATAAAAATTGTTTAACCAGCATACATACCTTTTTAAGAAATTATTTGATTGATTAGTTTGGCTGTTTATTTTGATTTTTTTTTATGAAATAAAAAAATATTTTCCCCATAATTTACTTTAAATTCATCTGTTCACCCAACTCATTGTAGGCTGTAATAAATAAATTATTCTTTTTTAAAAAGAACTAATAGTTTTATTAAAATTAAAATCTCTATTGAAATAAATAGATTTTGGAGGTGGCTACTTTATGGAGAGCCAAGATTTGCAAAGCCAAAATTTTAAAAAATTATAACATGTCAAGCAATTACATAAAAAAATTAACAAGGTGAGCTGGACAAGTTACAGTAAAAAAAATTAAAGGGATTGACAATTTATATATAAAATTGGGTTGGCCCTTGCAAATCTATTATTTGAATTTGCATAAAATTCTTTGAAATAACAATTTGCTTATTTTTTTTAATTTCAAGAACTGTCTAAGTAAATTAAATAAAAAAATGTATTCCCTAGTTTATAGAAAATTATTGGCTGGGGACATATTAATAAAATTTTAATGTGTCATTCTGGGCATTAAAATTTTGAAATATTTTTATTTAAAAATAAATTACATATACTTCTTTGTATTTTAAGAGCTGTCTAACTAAAATATTAAATCTATAATGAAATAATAAATTCACAAAAAGTTAAACAAGTTATTTATGTTATACAATACAGATATCAAAACAATTTACAAAATGGTTGTTACAGAAATAGATCAGGTAAGAAATTATTTAAATAATGGGCTGGGCAACTTGTGTAAAAAAATCTCAGCAGGCAAGGTTTTGAGATATGTGATTTATATGTAAAAAATAAAATGTTTAATTTTAAATCTTTTTTTATAACTTTATTAAACACTATACACTTCTATATACATTAATTTGGACATAAATATAATATACATTACATATTTATCTAAATGATGCCAAATTTTACCACATGGCCCTAGTCATGCCACTTATCAAATTATGATCAGCTAAATGTCGAAAGCAGAACCGACTCATTTTATAACGTTTATATAAACCCCTAGGTCTTGATGTTAAAACACATCTACTCCTTATTCTGACAAAATTTGAATCCCTGGGTAGTTCGCTAACCTCTTTATGGGCAACTTCCTATTTAAATAATATAATATAAAAATATGCTTGTTATAGAACTTTTAAGGTATCCGGAAGCAAATCATTTTTCCGCAATGCATTCAAACGCATTCTTAAATTATAAAACTCAGCAGATAACTTGCGTCTTTTAATATCTCTTACCATTCTATGATCTAAGGAACATGATCTAAAAACTATCGATTGTATTTTCTAAAGAATTAGTAATTTTAATTGTATATATTTAATATGCAAACTTTGCCAAATCCATTGTACAATAAGTTTCGTATCATAATCAGCTGGTAATGTTTCGTAAAATAAAAAAAAAGAGAAGATTTTTCGTTACCTTTCTGGCAGGCATCAAATAATTATGTTAACAATTATACATTGTTCTATTTTGGCTGGTAATGATGCATATCCTCTTAAGTTGTTGTTCTATGTGTTTTCCTTAAAATTATCATAGCATTATTTGTTTGTATTTTTTTAAATTATCTTTACCTACTTTCAAAAAAATAAAGAAGTAAGGATGAATAAATCTAGAAACGCTCTTTGGAAAGAAGACTGCCATTGAAGCTTATGTAATGCACTTTAAATATTGCTATAACCAGCCTCTGTCTTAGGGAGAAGCATTTTCAAAGATCAACAGAGTGCTTGTTCCTTTTGTGTTTATGGAGATTTTGCAGTAAGAGATGTTAGGGAAAGGTATACAATTGGGCAGATTGGAATAGCGTGCTGAGTAAACTCATTGTTGATTTGTCAGAATTGACAACCCAAAAATACGTGCTCGGATCTATTAAGTGAAGAGAAGAGGGTTGGTTAATAGCATGCTAGATAATAGAGATTCAACCAAACAAGCTACAACCAGAGTTACCTTTTTTTAGAGAGTAGTTAAGCGCGCTGCTTCGCTACTTTGAAATTTTATATAATTAATAAATAATATAATATATTTCTAAAAAAATGCTTTATAAATCTAACTTATCAAGTTATAATATAATATGCCGTCAATAGAGATAAACATGGAAGAAAGACAGGTTATAACCACAAAATTTTTCTAAAAAAGGGTATTATGGAATTATCTTTTTGCAAAATATTTTGAGCTTAATAAAAAAATATTAATATAATAATTATCATGTAATAATTTCGAAAGAACTGATTGTTATTATTATATTTAAAATTTAGAACATAGATTTTATTTTGTTTTACTTTTTTAAAATATAATAAAAAGAACAAAGTTGTACAAAAAATCTTCAAAGATTCATGAGCAAGATTTTTTCGTAAATTTGAAGATTTTTAAATTTTGAGCAACGATTTTAAAGATCTAGATCTTTAAATTTATCTAAAAATATTTTTGATCAACGATTTTGAAAGATCTTTATATTATAACATGTTATAGTAAACTATTATTTTTATATTTCTTGTAAATGGGCTAAATGAAGATGTACCAGAAAAGTGACATTTGTACTAATCATTTTTTATTCTTTTGAATTTTTTTTACGCAAGTGGGTAAAAATATATATTGAACATGTTAAATTAAAAATTCAATGAAGATGTACCACAGAAAAGACAATTGTCATAATCGTTATTTTTAAACTTTTTAGAATTTTCTTGAAGCAAATGGGTAAAAATTTATATTGTTGACATGTTAATTAAAATTTCAATGAGATATACCATAGAAAAGTGACAATTGTTATAATCATTATTTTAACTTTTTGTGAATTTTTTTGACTCAAATGATTAAAAATATATATTGTTAACGTGCCAAGTTAAAATTTCAATGAAGATATGCCACAGAAATGTGACAATTGTCATAATCGTTACTTTTTAACTTTTTTGACTCAAATGGGTAAAAATATATATTTTCTAACATGTTAAATTAAAATTTCAATAGGTGCCACAGAAAATGCAAGAATTATCATAATCGTTATTTTTTAACTTTTTTGAATTTTTTTAACTAAAATGGGTAAAAAAAAATTTTTTAAACATGTTAAATTAAAATTTCATGTACTATAGAAAAGTTACAATTATCATAATCTACATTTTAAACTTATTAAAAATACTTTAGATATAACATAGAAAACTGACAATTATCATACACATTATTTTTAAACTTTTCTAAAATTTAAACAAGGATATAACATAATTATGCATACTTTCTAAATTATTAAAAATCGTTAAAATAAATATATTATAAACCAGTTTTAAAAAATTAGTGACCCCAATCTAATTTTTTTTAAGAAAAAAAATGGTCATAGTATGTTTCATAAATTTTTGATCTCCTTATTATTATTAGTTTACAAAATATTAAAAAGTGATGCTTTCTAACTTTTATAATTTGAACGTTATTTAGGATTACGTAAAAGTCGTGTTTTCATTATTTACAACGACATAAAATGGCAAGCCGTTCCGAACAATAAATTTAAGTCAGAAATTCCAATTTTCTAAATATTTTTGTTGCTTTATTAGGTCAAATGAGCATAATTTTTGGGTAAGAGTTTTGGTCGAAAAAATGAGGATCCAACTAATCAAATAGGTTCTGGTTGACCAAATAAGATCAGAGCATAGACCAAAACCAACTCTATATAATATATTACTGTGTATTTTTTGCTCAATTCATCATTCATAGTTTTATGACATATTAACATTGAAATAATTATCTTGAATTATTAATTAGAATATTTACTTTTCAAAATGTTCTTTTCTTTAATATATTTTTTAGTTTTATACCACCTCGAGTCGCCTAATGCACTTGCAATTGTTAACCTTTATTGTAAACTTGAGGAAATAGTTTAATATTAAGCGAAATAATTATGTTATATTAATAAATTTTGAATACTTATTTTTACAAATTGTTCTCTTCTTAATTTGCAAATATTATATATATTTTACTTTACATTACCAACTCAAGTCTCGATCGTGAATCGTTATTATGAAAAGACGAGTTGTTCAATATTAACATCGAATTCGAATTAATTATCTAGTATTAATAAATATTTTATCGATACCTGTAAAAAACCGATCCGATCTTTTTACTTTATTTTTTTTGTTATTTTATGTTATGTATATATATTTTACATTATCTTCTTCTTCTTTATCATTGATATGGTCCCACAGTCGTGGGGTTTGTTTTGATAAATTTCTTCCTTGATCGAGTAAGGGCCATGTCTGGATTTATCTTCTTAGTCATCATAACTTTGTCTACTTGACCTTTCCACGTAACACGAGGTCGTCCTCTTCCTCTCTTCCCAGGCACCTCCATGTCCAATACTTTTCGATTTACATCATTCGTCTCCCTTCTTAGTATATGACCATACCACCTTAACAGATTTTCGTTTATAAAGTCCGCCATAAGTTGAATACCCATTTTTGCTCTGTGACAGTCATTCGTCATATGGTCGAGTTTAGTATACCCCAAGCTCCACCATTTCATTCTCATCTCCGTGGCTTGTAATAACTTTTCTTCCGTAGCGTTTAATGCCCATGTTTCACTTCCATAGAGTAACACCAGTCTTACGATGGATTTGTAAGCTTTACTTTTCAACCATATTGGCATCTTCTTGTCGCACATTACACCGGATATACTTCGCCATTTAAGCCATACTTTTTGAATCCGTGCATTGACTTCTTTTGCGCAACCTCCCTCTTGTTGTAGCATCGAGCCTAGGTATGTAAACCTGTCTACTTTTGGGTACTTTAATTGGTCATCCAGCAATGGGGTGCCTGTAACGTTCATCTCCATGTATACCGTTTTTCGATTGTTGACCTTTAAACCATATCTAGCTAAGCGTTTTGACCACTTTTCGGCTTCTTCGAATACTTTCTCCTTTGTCTCTTCGCATAGTACTATATCATCGGCATATAGCATATAACATACACCAAGGATGGCTTTTGGATGTCTCTCGTTATCGTGTCCATAATTATATTGAATAAAAAAGGACTTAGAGCAGATCCTTGATGTAATCCAATTTCAACTCGAAAAGGTTTAGAGTCTTCAACTGTCGTTCTAACGCAAAAAGTTGAGGCTTCATAGATATTTTTCATAAGCCGTACATATGCGTCAAAGATATTTTGATTTCTCAAGCACCACCATATTAAATCGCGAGGGACCGTGCCATAAGCTTTCTCCAAGTCAATAAAGACCATATGTAGGTTTCTTTTCTTTTCTCCATATATATCCATCATTTGTCTTAGTGTGAAGATCAGATCGATTGTGGATTTGCCAGCCACAAATCCGAATTGGTTAGCCGATATTTCCACCTCGTTCTTCAGCCTTGTTACTAAGATCCTTTCCATAAGTTTCAAGGAGTGGAAAGTTAGCTTGATACCTCTGTAATTACCACACTCCTGAGGGTCTCTTTTGCCTTTGAATAAGGATATAATCGTGCTTGCTCTCCATTGATTAGGAATTCGTTCTTCTCCCAATATCTTGTTAAAGAGGTTCGTCATGGCAGTGACTCCTTCTTCTCGGCATCCGGCCCATGCTACTAAAGGAATTCCATCTGGGCCATTAGCTTTTCCTTTTTGCATCTTGTTTATTTGCGTCCTAACTTCAACCTCCTGAAAGAGTTCATCCATACTTATGTTTGGCTCAATTCGGGAAGGAAATCCTTGTCATTAGCAATATTCATAAGTTCCTTGAAATATCCTTTCCACCTTTCCATTACCTCCTTCGGCTTGAATAAGGTTTGACCCTCATTTTTGACTATTTTAAGGACCTCGACATCGCGACTTTTCTTTTCCCTTATCTTGGCCAATTTGTACATAAGCCTGTCTTACCCTTTATGATCCAGTTTGTTTGCCATCTCGGTGTACACAACATTCTTCGCTATTGCAACGGCCTTCTTCGCAGCTCTCTTTGCCTCCCTATATTCTTTGTAATCCTCCGACTTTTTAGATTTATGTCACCGTATAGAATTTTCTTTCTTTCGATGAAATCCCTAACCGATTGATCCCACCATCATAGTTCCCTATTTAAAGTTTTGCCTCCTTTGGTCTGTCCTAGAATCTGAATCGCCATTTCCTTTATGTCTGCAGTTAGCTCACCCAATCGTCGTCTACGTTTCATTCTAACTTCCTGGCACCCAAGAGTGTGGAGGCTTTCTGATGGTATTTATCGTTCGTCGGCATGTCCTTTAGCATTTCATACCTAATTCGAGGTTCATAAACCTTTCTTCTTTTCGGAAACCCTTTTCTTTCAAGATCCATGACAAGTGGACCATGTTGCCTGGCGATTTATTCTCCCGGTATTACTTTACAATCTTTGATCCTTCATAAATCCTTTCGCCGTAAAGCAGATAGTCAATTTGACTAAAATGCTTTCCACTTCTATAAGTCACAATATGATCTTCACGCTTTTGAAAATAAGTGTTAACGATCGCCATGTCATATGCTTAGGATACTTGGAGAAGTTTTTCCCCTTCCTTGTTCTTCAGACCATGCCCATAGCCTCCATGATTTTGTTCATACCCAAGACGATCTTTTCGTATGTGGGCGTTAAAGTCCGCCCCAATAATTAGCTTTTCTTCTGTCGTATTCCTTGTATCTCTTTTTCCAATTAATCGAAGAATATATCTTTCTCTGATTCCATACACCCAATTTGAGGAGCATACGCGCACATAACGGTTAGGAGGCCTCCTTGATCTGCAATCTTCACCCACATTTACCTGTCTGAACATCGTTTGACTTCCACCACCTTGTCCTTGAGTGATTCGCTTAGAACGATATCGACCCCGTTTCTACGATTTGGTGACCCACTGTAGAATAACTTGTATCCCTCTCCTAACTCCCGAGCTTTAGTTCCGTTCCATCTCGTCTCTTGTAGGCAGGCGATGTGTACCTTTCTTCTTTTTAGCATTTGTGCGACTTCGAAGCTCTTTCCGATTAACGTACCCACATTCCAGCATGTTATTCGCATTCTATCCACAAATAACTTCCTTAACCGCCTTCGTTGTGAGTCAGGCGATAACCCTAGCGTATTATTCGCATTGCACGGGCGGGAGATGCAGTGCGCCTCGTTTGTGGAGGACGCCCTAGCTTTCTGTTTTATGTTTTATTTGAAACTATCATCATTTTGGAGTGGGTTTTTATGGTCGGTTTCCGACCTGACGCCAACCCTCCACTTTTTGCACACGGACTTGGGACCGTAGTAGGTAGTGTTTTATTTTACATTATTATAATATTTTCTAATAAATTTTTTTAAAACAATGCAAATGCACAACACCCCCTAAATTTTATTTATTTTTTAAAATAGATTTATAGTATTTTAAGAGTTTTTTTATAAAAAATAGTAAGGAACACCCAAAGTTATATTTATTTTAAATCTTTTTAAATAATAACTTCAATTTTATTATTTATACTTTAAATAAAAGAATTTTTTTAAATGTCGTATCTGAATTATGGCAATATTTTACAAAAACAGATACTTTTTCAAAATATATTTTCTGCGGAATTCTAATTTCACGGGGAGGAATAATGTAAATTAATACTACCAATATCTGTAAACATTTAAAGCGATTCCATCAAACGGCATTCGAAGAGCTAAATAAAAAAGAAATAGAAATATTACAAATCAAATTTTTTTTAAAAAAGAGCCCAGAAAGTCAATCAACAATATCAACCATTCTTAATAAAACTAATATTTGGAAATATTCTGATCCTAAATCTATAATAATTTCTATATTTATAGGGGAAATGATAGCGTGCGAGTGCGACCACCAGCAGATTTCTATCTTGGAGGATATCGGCTTTAAATAGCTTTTACAGTATTTATATCCAAATTACAACCAAATAGAAAATATTTTCTCAAGGAGTTATTCCGGATATATATGAAAAACTCTCCGAAAAAATTCGTAAAGAAATATTTGTTGACAATTCTTATTTTTCCTTTACCCTAGATATATGGACTAGAAATTCAGGTGGCGATCCTCACATCTCATTAACATGCCACTATATAAACCAAAAATTTTAAACAAATTTTGGGGACAATTGGAAGATGAACGGTGAGAATAATGATAATAATCGGAGAGAGAAGGACAATAATCTGAGAGATGAGGACAGTAATCTGAGAGACGAGGACATGGGAAGGGACCTATTGGCGATAGATTTGGGGCCCGATAGAGGGATCATTCGAAGATCTAGAGGCAACATATCTCACCCCGAAATTCGTGGATTGGTTGTAATGTGCTATAACGGACTCTGAGATTGAATTAGTGTTGGACCCGGAAGAGGGGTTGCAAGGTTGACTGGTGAGAGTTGGTTTGCTATTATTGGGGGCGTGTCTTGGAGTTTGTCCGATTCAAATAAATTATTTTTTTTATATATTAGTAATAGGTGTTGTAGGATTATAGTTTTTGTGAAATAATATTCTATTATTATTATTATTATGTTTTGTGTTAGTTTTTGTAAAAATATAGAAACAAATGTAAAAAAAAATAAATAATAAATTATTATTGATTTTTTTAATTTAATTATTAAATAGTGAGAAAGTAAAAAATAAAATCATTATTTTATGTTTTTAGATTTATTTTGTGTTTGTGTTTAAAAATTATCAAAGAAAAAGAAAAAAAACCCAAGTAAAAAAATTATTATATTTGTTGTAGAAAAAAGTGAACCCAAAATTAAATAACATATTTCCCCGTTCTACGTCTTGAGTAATAACTACGGAACCCTTGTTAAACTTGATAACTATAACATCTTATAATATGTAGATCTTTGAAGATCGTTGATCAAGAATATTGTTGTATTCAACAAATATATATATATATGAGCTATTATTAATTTTGTTGTATTCAAATATATATAGATGAAATATTATTAATTTTGTTGTATTCAAATATATAGATATAACTATGATTAATTTGAATATGTAAAAAAAAAGAAAAAGAAAACGATGTCTATGAATATTGATAATTTTTAATTATTGTTGAAAAAGATACTTTTAATTTTTCATTACTAATTTTTTGATGAATTTTTATGATATTTATAATTTTGGAATATTAAAAAGATGAATAAAAATGAAAAGATTTTAAAATAAAGAAAATCATTCTTAAAGTTAAAAAAAAAAGGAAATTAGAATTAAACTGGTTACGGTCTCCGACAAGTGATTATAATTGAGTGTAACATTCGTTATTTTATTAAGCGAATTTAGTAAAATTTATATATTAATTTATTTATCAATAGATTCCTTCATTGTATTCAGTCTCTCCCACTAGTCTCAGCAAAGAAATATCAATCCCATATTAAGGAATGGCACAGTGGTGCCTTATAGTGATTGATCCAGGCTTTAGAAGATCGAAGGTCATTCTAATTATACACTGGAACTAGGTAAAAAAAAATATATATATATAAATTTTTAGATAATTTCGGTTTTCATTGATGTTATATAAAATTTGAATCATTGTATTGGTTTTATTCGTATTTTTATATTTAATTTAATTTTTTAAGATTAGTCAAAATTAGTTTAATTAAGTGGTTATTGAGTACGCTTTAATGTATATTACGCAAATAAATTTATTAAGTTTAATACTTGAAAATATAAGTATAATTATATTTTTGTTGCTAATTTTAAGTTTCACGTTAGGTTTAATTATAGGAAAAAATACGACTTACGTTAGATAGAGAGTAAAGAGTTAGAAAATATTAAGAATATATTAAGAGAGGAAGATAAGAAAAGAAATATAAACAACTTCATGCGAACGGATAATTACAGACAGATAATTTGCTATAGTTGTGGTCAGCTGGGCCACATGTCGCGCCAATGTGAGATAACGAAGAATCTAAGATGCGCGAGGTGTGGCAAGAATAGCCATGTGGCTATATGTTGCTGAGTAAACAAATCAATTGTAAGGTGCAATAGTTGTGCCCAAGAGGGACACACACAAGAAAATTGCAATAAATGACTAAGAGAGATATTTTAATTTTAATGATAAATTTTGTAATGATAATAATTTTTCTAATGTTAATAATTTTAATTCAGGTAAGAATAAAGATTTTAATTTTAATGATAAATTTTGTAATGATAATAATTTTTCTAATGTTGATAATTTTAATTCAGGTAAGAATAAATATTTTAATTTTAATGATAAATTTTGTAATGATAATAATTTTTCTAATGTTGATAATTTTAAATCAGGTAAGAATAAATATTTTAATTTTAATGATAAATTTTGTAATGATAATAATTTTTCTAATTTTAATAATTTTAATTCAGGTAAGAATAAATATTTTAATGATAAATTTTGTAATGATAATAATTTTTCTAATGTTGATAATTTTAATTCAGGTAAGAATAAATATTTTAATTTTATTGATAAATTTTGTAATGATAATAATTTTTCTAATGTTGATAATTTTAATTCAGGTAAGAATAAATATTTTAATTTTAAGGATAAATTTTGTAATAATAATTTTGCTAATGGTGATAATTTTAGTTCAAGTAAGAATAAGTATTTTAATGTTAATAATAAATCCGGTGATGATAATGAGTGATTTAATGTTGATAATTATAATTTGAATAATAATAATAGAAGTATAGGTCAAGAGAGAAATATAAAGTTAGAAAGTAGGAATTTTGAAATATATAGAATAAAAGGTTGAACTGGTGTAGATGTACGAAAAATTAAATTAGTCATGATAAAGGCTGAAGAAGCAGAGATATGTTTTTTATTGGATACAGGAGCGGAGATTAGCCTAATGAGTGTAAAAGATTTTAATAAATATTTTCCAAAAGAAAGATTCATTGCAAAGAGAATAAAAGTTAGACAATTTGACGGTAGCATGGTTAAAATTCTAGGTTTTTATGTGATAAAATTGTTAGATATAAATAAGGAAGTAAAGTTATGGATTACGACACTAAAGATGGAGCCTATTTTAGGTTGGAATGACATTGAGAAGATAGGTTCTGAGTATAATTGGTCTTTGTTTGAAAATGTCCGTGAGAAAAACAAAATAACGAATGAGATGAGGATAAAGAGAAGACTGATTTACCTTGTGTAAGAGTTAAACAGGATATAGTTCTCGATGAACTCAAAAATCGAACACCAGAATTTTTAATTAGATATAGAAGTAACTTAGAAGAAAATAAGGAAATAAGAGATATAAAGACAATAGAGGTAAATACAGGCGAAGATAAATAACAAGGAATTAATAAAATGGTAGAACTGAATGTTGTTGAGGACAATTTTAACAAAGAAATAAAGATTATTTTGAATAGATATAAGGAAGTCTTTAAAGAAGAATTAGGGACTCTTAAAGATTTTGAAGTAGATATACGATTAGAACAAGATTATCGACCTAAATATTGCAGCACAAGAAGATTGCCGTTTTCGTGGATAGAAGATATAAAGGAATTAGACAAATGGTTAAAAGAAGGAATTATAAAACCAATAGTGCATAGTGTATGGGGAACACCGTTAGTTCCCATAAGAAAACCAGATAACAGTTTAAGACTGTGTATAGACTATAGAGTATCAGTTAACCCGTGGGTAATAAACGAAAGATATCCATTACCTAGAATAGAACAATTGCTGACTAATTTAAGAGGAGCAACAATTTTTTCAGAAATAGATTTTTCGAATGCTTACTTGCAAATAAAGGTAAGTGAGAGAACAAATAAGATATTAACGATTACAACGCATAGAGGATTATTTACTTTTTGTCGTTTACCATTTGGTTTGAAAGTATCAGCTCCAATATTTCAAAGAACTATGGCGGCATTATTTCAAGGAATAAAGGAAATATTGTATTATTTAGACGATGTTTTGATATCTGGTAGAACAGAAGAAGAACACAATGCTACGTTAGTTAAAGTGTTGGATATTATATTAGAAAATAAAGCTAAAATTAATAAAAGTGTTTTTGGAGCAAGAAAAATAAAGTATTTAGGACATATTATAAAGGGAGATGAAATTACTCCAA